TGGCCAGCAACAATAATAACAAAATGCAAATGCTTACCTTGTTATTTTTGGAAGATCAAAATCGAACTGCAAAAAAAAAAAAAGAAAAACAAATCAAAGGCAAGTTCACGCGTCATCGCCAGGCAGAAATCGATTTGGCCACAAAAACAAAGCGTAGAGCGGCAGATTCTCCAACGATTTACACGCCCACGTCTGGACTTAACAGACGCAGCCGGCCCCCTTTTGCTTTCCTTCCATCTTCCATCTCAGAAAAGAAAAGTTTTCCCCGGATTCCGCTTCTGGTCGTGCTCGGTTTTGCGTTCGTTATATTTTTTTGACAGCCCCCGTCTCTCTCATTGACGTCATTGACGTGCTGCAAAGGAATTTGTTTTTCGTGAAAAATATTTTCGCCTTTTTGCACTTTTTTTTTTTTTTGCTTGTTTTTCTTATAAATGTGTTTTGCGTTAGGGTAATGCAGGGGTAGGGTATGGGAGAGGTACTTCTGTAAGGTCATTAGAATGGAGGAAATTAACTCTAAAAAGATTAAAATAAATGTTAAATTCGGAAAATTTTACAAATTTGTATACCTTTCTACTTCTCCTCCATACTTGCATAAGTTTTAAGATTATAAATTATTAAATTTATGATAATTATCAGAACGGAGTGTTAGTAAGAGTAATCCCAATTCGTTTTAGTAAAAATCTTATTTTAAAAATCAAATTTATTATCGCACTGGTAAACTAATTTTTAGGCCCACTGCTGACGCCTTTGGACCACCATCATCATCATCCTCATCATCAGCATCGCGGAGATCACCAAACATCCATAATTCGCCCGGCAATTGGGTTTCGTGCTCAATCTGGTTTCTGGCCAATTTTAGATCCCACTGCTGGTACTACCGACTGACTACCAACTACTGGCTGGCGATCGTCATCACCTGGATCTGGAACACTCTGTTTAGAATCAGTCCGGCGGGCATGGAAAGCGCGTCATCGCGGCGGCGCACGTCAGTCGATCAGTACGGCCCGGAATCTGGGGGCTGATCTGTGTGGGAGTTGGGCCACTCTATATTTAGCCGTGAGACGGGCCGCTGAAGTATTTTGGTCATGAGTTTAAAAACAAGCGCAGCAAGTCGATCGGTCCGATCAACCGTGGACGGATTGTCGGACAGTTTTATTTTTCCAACAAATTATTTATACGCAAAAAAGATATTTTGCACGGAATAAAAATCTTATTTATAGCTGACTGCGAGACGACCTTGTTCCCCCTCGCCCAGAGAAAACCCATACGTCTCGCCGTTTTCATTGTATTTGATCTTTGGAGCACGCCGTAGAACGTCCTTCACCCTCAGTCATCGAGATGCCAGCAAGAAATTCCATTTCCATGTGGATAGGCAATGGAAATAAATCAATCCGTGGGATGGGATACCTAATAATGTGCCAATTTTAGTTCTCAAATTTATTAGCTGTATTACAAGTGTTTGAAATTTTCTGAAGGTTACAGAACGGTATTGAAAATTCCATTGCGGAAAAATCAAAATCACTCAGCACGAGGGATAAATAAAGTAGATTTAATATTTTTAGAAAAAGAAATCATGATCATCTTTAGGATTTGGTAAATACTTTTCAGAATTTCCCAGCGCTACCAGGAATTCTGCCTTATGATTTATGGGTAAATAAAGTAAAATCTTAATTTAAGTGTTTTTCCTTCATTCAGAAGTAGCTGTGACCCACTTATTATTTATTTATCCAGAATTTAGGCAGGTTCCTTTTTGGCCGCCACGCGACTGCAAACCGCTGCCAACTGAGCCAATTTTTTTGTTTAAATAGGACAACTTTTTGTGTGCCTTTTGCCTGGGTCAACCTCAAGTAGCAGAACCAAATACAAAAAAATAAAAGGAAAAGAAAACGAGTCTGCCACGCGAATGCAGATTTGCAAAAAGGAAGCCGAAAAAAACAATTGTAACAAAAAATTAGAGCAGGGCGACGATGATGTGGTCCTGTACCAGGATCTGGGCTACAGGAATTCTGGAAAAAAAAATGCAAAAATTATTCGCGGAATTAACAGCGGGTCTGTTGGCCTTGTTTTTTGCCCAGAATTGCGTAAATTGCCATCCCTGCCAGGCAGAGACCCGATTTCGGTCCCGCTCTCGATGTCCTGAATTTTTTAACAACATGCCATAAACAAATGTGAGCAGATTTTTTCAGGTCGCGCTGGACGGACGTTTTGGCCAAGTTCAGGCCAAGGCAGCGCGAATGTAGTTCAGTGGCCGTTTTTATGGGCCATCTAGATCTAGGGCTAGGGTCCTTGGTATTTTATGGCCCTGCTGCCATAGCTGCTGGTATTGCATAACATTGCGTTGGTCGCTGGCCGGAGGACTTACGTAAAACTGCGCTGGGCTGCTCTCATTATGTCATAAGCGAGCTAGAACAATGGCCAGACAGGATCAGCGAGGATCGCAGGATCACGGCGTGCGCAGTTTAGGTAATTTTGCGGGACAGAACATTTTCGACATTTTCAAAATTGGGCATTCAACACCTCGCTCGTCAAGAGAGTTTCCTGTACCCGCCCGGGAATCTTATGAATAAATTCCAACTTTCCAGGTGAATAAATTCACACTCCATATCTAACGGTAGCCACATCCTGGCTGAGCCCTTTGAATTCTTAATTGCCTTAGCCAGGATCTCTCAGATTGCTTCTCCTTCATTAGCCACCGTGAAGACAGGTAGCCTAGGCAGCGGCCCTAATCATCCCCTCTGACAATTATTTCCGGCACTCTTTTTTGTCTTTCCCAACGAACGCCCTCCTTATCAAGATTGCCCTTCTGCCTACGCCCACTCAAAGTGGAACGCCAACTACGGAAGATGAAAAACATTTCGTTAGCATCTAGTTTGCGGTGTGTTCTGTGATGATGCACCAACTGTGCACCGGAGGAGGTCTTAAAACGAACTACACGTGTTAGCTGACCAAAGACCGTACCACCACCAGGAGGATGCCGGACGGCCGGACGGGCGAACGGTGACGATTAAGGCCCTCGGCCGAGAACAGCCCCCAGAAACAAAACGTTAAAACAAAGTTAATACCAGAGACAGTCGTAAAAAGAAGAAGGCCCACTACGACTTGAACAGAAACAAAAACGGACCCTGTCTGCGGATCCTTTGTGGCGCAGATTGGCCAGCGAGATTTCAAAGGGGGCGCGTGATCGCCATCAAAATGCTCGTGGAGGCAATTTAAATTGCTGAACTGAATAGCGAGGCGCGTGCAGTGGTGAGTCTTTCGAGCGGGAGCCTCGCATCCCAGGTAGAGACACGATCCAGAACCTGCTGACGATAAGGCCCCCTTCTATCCCAATCCCAACCACCTCCCGGGCAGGGTACACGTTTCGAAGGGAGCAGAAGCCATAGCCGCAGCCGCAGCCGCAGCAGAAGCGATCGCCTCCTCGCGTGCTGGGTGTTGAAAAATATGTTTCGGCTCTCTGTTCGCTGTTCTCTGTTTATTTATAACAAGCTCCGCCGCCACGCAGCCTTGACACTGACGAGATCCGTGGGGCCAGGGCCAACTCAAGGTTATGGCCTAGGCAACTCTGTAAGAGTCCAATTTGAAGCCAGCAGCAGTCGCCGCCTGCAACTTTGTTGGCCGCTAATTTATAGTTGGCTAGACGTAATTTTGAGGGCTTATTCCTAAACTCCTTACCCTAAATCCAATTTCAGTTTTAAGACGCGGAAAATTGAGGGCTGCGGGTTAGTTAACCGTATAATATGCCATGTAAATATTTTTTTCGTATTTTAATATTTTACTACAAACATTTTTTTAAACTTTCTATTAACTTAAACATATTTTCTTATATATTTTCTAGAAAAAACATTTTAAATTTGAATTTCCCATAGAAAACTGTTTGTACACTGCTTGGCTTGTACTGCTTTAAAGCATCAAGCAAGCAGTAAACATAACTAAGCAGTATGTAGAATGTATGTAAAATAGGAAGGCACAGCATACTAACCAAAGGTGGCGCCACTTATTTATTGCAAAACCACCACAAACCAAGCATATTTTGTTCTTTTAAGGTAATTTAGTTTATAAGTTAAATTAATTAATGAAACTAGACTTAATTTTAATAAATCAGGAATAAAAACGTTATATTCTATCTTCCACAAATATACAATCTGTCATTTATCTTACCTCTTAACCAAAAACAAATATTTAAACACCAAAACGAAAGGCACTTAAAACCACTCCCAGCTCCTCTTTCATTAAATAATTATTTAAAATAAAATAAAGTGCCATATTCACCATCAAGATCTGATCCGCCTAAGGATATATTCAGCACTTCCCAACTTCGCTGGCAACAAAAATCGAGTTTTATTAACACAAACAAGGCATTAATATCAATTTTGGTATCACTTGACTGGCGAGCAGATAATTGGGGGTCAGCAGCTGCTGTGGCTGTGCGTCGGAGTCCTCCTACTGCTGATCTCCACCAGAACTGCCCCCAATTGTCAGAAGGAATCAGCGCCAATTGGCTTCAAAGCAAATATTTGCCCCGAGTGGCAGTTAAAGCTCAGTCTGGGATAATGACAGGAGATCTGGGAGATCAGGGACCATCTCAAAGGAGGAACTGCTGCTGCCATTTCACACCATGTCAGCCGAAAAGGTGCGATCGCTTGGCACACCTTAGGGCCATCTCGTTGGCTGTGTCAATTCCGAGAATGTCAGGGATTTATTTTTTTTTTTTGGGCTCCAGTCAGGCAATAAAACGTTGCAGCAAATTAGCGCTTTATTGCGTGTTTGTTTGGTCAGAGGTAAGCCAACCGGAAAAGGAGACCAATGGACCAGAATCCCAGCGACTCTGCTGACTCTTGGCCACCTAACCAAGTCCCGAGACCCGTTAAATTCTTGTTAAGACAAGGGCCGAGTGCAAATTAAAGCCAAAGGCCAAGGAAATTTATAGTGAAAGGCATAATAACAGCATATCTGGCAAGAAGAGAGATCAGACCTCCATATAATATATATAATCCGCATAATATATGTAAGCTTTTATTGACATTTGAAGCACCTGCTTGAGGTTTCGCCCATTCAGCGTTTATCACACAACTATTTACACGTCATCACCCCAGATTCTCCTCACTCCTTGTCTTTCTGGTCGGTCCTTAGAGTTCCTTTTAGGCTTTTCATATATAGCTCAGCTATAGCGTCCTGGCGGTGCACCGTTTGTAGGCCTGGCTATTTCGACGCCACTAGCGCCTTATCACATGTGTTTTCGGTATTTAGGGAGTACCAGTTCCAGTTTCCAGTTTTCGGGCATGCCCTGTAGTCTAACCTAGACAGCTAGTTCTCCGCTCAGACATTGAGGGGTATACACGTTGGCCAGCGAGTCCCAGCCACAGTCAGCCAGCTGGTGGGTCCTGTGAGGGTTCCAGTCCAAGCCGCAGACAAACTCAGTGTGCTGGGCATTGATCTCCTGAGCAGATTCGCCACGCTCCAGATTCCAGATCCTTAAAGGGCAGAAAAGAGATTAGAATATGAAACGCCACTCTTACTCCCTTATATAAGAATCTATCTCTTTTGTAGCCCCCACTTACCGTGTGGTGAAGTCATAATTGGCAGATGCCAAAACCGCTGCCGAGTGCGGTGAACAGGCCAAACGCCGGACAGCAAATTCCCCGGAGTACAGCTCAAAGACGTGCGTCCTCATCTTGCGCAGATCCCATCCACGAATCAGGCCATCCGATCCTCCAGTAACCAAGACATTGCGATCGAAATGCGACCAGTCGCAGGACAATGCCTCACTCGCATGCGCCTCGATGCTCATCAGGGGTTTACCTGCAAAATCAAGAGAGTTCCATAAGTTAAGGTGTCCATCGGTACTCACGCTAGCAAAAAGATTGGCGATCAGGGGCGAGAACTTGGCTCCGTAGATCAGATCGTTGTGGCCCACAAAGGTGGTGATGGAGTTCTGTCTGTTGCAGTCCCACAATTTCAGAGTGCAATCCCAGCTGGCCGAGAGCAGTGTATGGTAGTTCCACTTCTCGCCCCAGTCCAGGCTGTAGACCTCGTTCTTATGCTCCTGCAAGCAGATCAGGGGTTGTTTGGGCGTCTGCTGGTTAGCCGCCGATTCACCATCCAATCCGCACCAGATCTGAAGGGATCCATCACCGGAGGCAGTGGCAGCGATATCGGCAGCATAGGGACACCAGGCGACGTCGAACAAACCATCGGACCACTCCAGACGGCACAGTTCCCCAAGGTTCTGGCCGTCTGTGGAGGTCGAATTGGAGTTCTGTTCGAGCAAAAAGAGGGAACCACCTCCAGCAAGACCGTACAGTTGGCTATAGGTTTGGAAAGAGATTATAAGTTAGTTTATAGTTTAGCAAGAAGGGTTAAGTTTGGTCTTACCTTGTAGCTAGCAGCAAGTAGTTAGCCTCGAAAGGCGAAAAGCGCAGGCTATAGCCATGTCGATCTGTTGTGGTGTGAGTCTGAGTTTGCATTTTGGTTTGAACTCTGAACTGAAAGGGGAAAAGGAAAATGAAGATATTATTTAACTAAGTATGTTAACTTGTAAAACATTATATTAAAGCCACAACTAAGACAACAAACAGACAAATCAATATATCGACGTTTGATTCATAACAAAATTAAAAGCTTCTAAGGCTTCCCCTCTGCTGACCATAGAAACTTGGCTTAAAAGAGCAAGAGCAATAGCAAGACTTTCCTGACTGATAACAACCCGGTAACACCGAATCAGATGCTAATCCTGCTGCGTGTCGCCACCTAATTATTCAACAGTTGGCCAGATGACCTCGGACCAGGTCGGAATCGGAAAAATACTTGACATTAGCCAATTTGCTCGGGCAAGTGGCAAACTGCGCAGAAAAATAGACCAACCCCTAAGGGAAGCAGCTAGTTTGCAGTTTTCTTTATGTTTTTTTTTGTCATTTCCCAACAAACAACTGGATAACGCGCAAATCCAGTTAGTGGCCAGAATGAAGACCCACGGACAGGGCCAGGGCAAAGGTATATAAGCAGGTTGCACGGCATTTGGGTTTCGCATTTTCCTCCGCCGAACGGAAAACTCTATAACGCGCATCGCCGACTTAGCATCGAACAAAGTTGAATCCAGGAACTACATCTTAAAAAATCCAGTATGGTTGTATCCGTGAAGGTCTTCAAGAAGGCCACGCCCAACGGCAAGGTCACCTTCTATCTGGGCCGCCGCGACTTCATCGATCATCTGGACTATTGTGATCCCGTTGATGGGGTTATTGTGGTGGAACCGGACTATCTGAAGAACAGGAAGGTCTTTGGCCAACTGGCCACCACCTATCGTTATGGCCGCGAGGAAGATGAGGTCATGGGAGTGAAGTTCTCCAAGGAACTGATCCTGTCGCGAGAACAGATCGTGCCCATGACCAACCCTAACATGGAGATGACACCCATGCAGGAGAAACTAGTCCGCAAGCTGGGCTGCAATGCTCACCCATTCACCTTCCACTTCCCGCCCAACTCGCCCAGCTCTGTGACCCTTCAGCAGGAGGGCGATGACAATGGCAAGCCTCTGGGTGTGGAGTACACCATCCGTGCATTTGTGGCCGATTCCGAGGACGATCGCCAGCACAAGCGCAGCATGGTCAGCCTGGTGATTAAGAAGCTCCAGTATGCTCCCCTCAATCGTGGCCAGCGTTTGCCCAGCTCGCTGGTCAGCAAGGGCTTCACCTTCTCCAATGGCAAGATCAGTCTGGAGGTTACGCTGGATCGGGAGATATACTACCATGGCGAGAAGACGGCAGCCACCGTTCAGGTTTCGAACAACTCGAAGAAGTCCGTGAAGAGCATCAAGTGCTTCATTGTGCAGCACACCGAGATCACCATGGTGAATGCCCAGTTCAGCAAGCATGTGGCCCAGCTGGAGACCAAGGAGGGCTGCCCCATTACCCCGGGCGCCAATCTCACCAAGACCTTCTACCTGATTCCTCTGGCGGCCAACAACAAGGATCGTCATGGTAGGTTTACATGTGAAAAGAGGGGTCTTTGAAGGTTTCTAATGGGGATTTTATCTTGACCTTTAGGTATTGCCTTGGATGGGCACTTGAAGGACGAGGATGTCAACCTGGCCTCATCCACCATGGTGCAGGAGGGCAAGTCCACGGGAGATGCCTGTGGTATTGTCATCTCGTACTCGGTGCGCATCAAGCTTAACTGCGGTACTCTGGGAGGAGAGATGCAGACGGATGTGCCCTTCAAGCTGCTCCAACCGGCACCTGGTAAGCTCTATTAGATTACTTCTTTAGTATCCCTTTAGTAACCCTTATGGCTTAGGCACCATTGAGAAGAAGCGCTCGAATGCCATGAAGAAGATGAAGTCCATCGAGCAGCACCGCAATGTGAAGGGCTATTACCAGGACGACGATGACAATATTGTATTCGAGGACTTTGCCAAGATGCGTATGAACAACGTTAACATGGCGGACTAAGCCAGCGATCTGTGGAACTATCTTCTTCTAGCTTTGTTGTGAACCAAATTGAATTGAACCGAATCGAAAGCACTGAAAACTTGTTGCAGCAGTCTCTCGTGGAGGCCACAATCTTTGTATTATAATCGTATCTATAACGCTCTCTGTGTAGTAACTTTGGTGGATCTGGAGTTTGTACCCGTACATATGCATGTTGAAGTGTTGAGCCGACCTCGTGTCCCTATATTATAAATGTGTTATGGCTATCAAAACTTACCTTTTCTCTTCTTTCTATGGAATATCCAAAAGTAGGTTTGGTTTATAGAGTGTATAGTCTTGGAGAGGAGTTCTTGGTGGTGCTGTGGGTTTCAACTTCAGAAGTCGAATGAACTGCCTAACTGCGCAGCTCGACAAGGAAGGATCTGTTGGCCTGGATTTTAGGGATGGTTTGGCAAACGATGACAGGGGGTTGAAAAGCCCAGTGCTTATAGGTCACTACTGTGGCTTTCAACCCCTTGAAAGAATCAACAGGCTGTCAGGATATATGGGCGACCAATCAGGATCAACTAGAACTGGATATGGCCGGCTCTAACGGTCAACGGAACTTCCACAACCATCTGGTTGACAAAGATAAAGCCGAAAGTTTTTATATGCTAAATAGCCAAGCTTTGACCTTGATGATGGCTAAGGCCGCCAGCTGGCATCAGTTTGATTCTGATCTCCGCCAGACTTGCTATTTTTCTTTTTCCTATCTTTTTTTTTTTGCCATGACTGCTTATATAAGGCAGCATAACGGCTGGCCCTCCAGCTGACCGTTGGAGCATTGCACAATCCGGGACAGCTTCGATCGATTTCACACACCGCTGACTGCTGGGCAAGTGACTTCCGGCTTTTGGCCACGCCACAGCACTTGGCCCCAGACAGCCAAGCCCCGAAAAGTGGCCAACTATAAATGGCTATGTTGTTGTCAAAATGCTGCCACAAATTTGACGAGAGTGCAACGCGATGGAGCTGCCAATTGGGAAACTATTCGATGAACTCAGGCAGTTGAAGTTGCAAATATTGCTCCTGCAATTCATGTTGCTCGTTACGCCGGCAATGTTGCAGCAGCAACATCTGTTCTACCATCCAAGGCAATTGTACTACGATTCACCGCGTCTTCGCAGATTTGAGTATGCAGGAGCCACGCCCTTTGTGGGTGCTTACAATCCGGTTCCACCGCCTTCCGCTCACTACCAACAACAGACGCCCCACTTCCAGCTGATCAACTATCGGCCCAGTTATCAGCCCTTGCCTTTGGATTACCAACAACAACAGTTGCCAGCTCCTGCTCCACCACTACCACCTCTTTATCCGCAACAGAGTGTCCAGTATCAGCATAGGACCATTGCTCCACATGCCGAGTTGGCCAAATATCGTTATGAAGGGAATTATCTGCCGGTGCAACGGGTTTCCCCCCAGCAAACTCAACGTCGTGCGGAGGAGCAACAGCAATTGCAGCAGCAGCACTTGCAACAACAGCAGCAACACTTGCAGCAGCACTCTCAGCAGCTTTACAATGTGCCGCCAGCTCTCTTTACTAGCGATGTGTTGCATGTGATTCCACCTCGGATTGCCAGATTGCAGGAGCAACAGCAGCAGCCTTCTCAGAACGTTCAAGCTGAACGGCCCAGAAGGAGTCCTAAGGAGCTGGACACGGATGTCGCTGAAACCAGAAGACAAACTGATCGGAGTGTCAAGGAAACTAAATACTTTCAGTAAGGAAATTGGGTCAGAAAATGGGTGAAAAGTGTGGTGTTCCATAAATTATGATTATGTTTTAACATGCACTTCATGCTTGAAATCAATCAACCATTTTTAACACAAAATCACTGAAACACAAATTCACTCAATTTCAAAAAGAAAATGGCTTGAATATGGGTGAAATTGTTACGAAAACACGGTGGTAGTTGAGTTTTAATTAAAATTCAAAAGATTTCCCTTGAAATCATGCACGGAAAGTGGTGGTTGTTAAAATCATGCACCACAAGCAACACTTCACAATTATTTTCTTCACACCTTTTTAGTAGGAAAATTGTTATAGGAAAAAGGGTGAAAAGTGTTTCAAATATTTGGACAAAATGGTGGTTGTTGCCTAAATAATTGAAAATTACAATTAGGTAAGCCGAATAATTTCCTGATTTCTATTTTTGGCAGCTGCTTTTCGGACTTTTAACTTTTTAAAAGCTCTTCCTGCACAAAATTAATATTAACTGATAATTTAAGCACAAGTTAGTTGACCAGCTAGAAGTTCCTAGTTCTAAATTTAAACTCCCTAATCTAGTGATATTTTCATGCGCTTCGATGGCCCCAATTCGCGGAGTCACGGTCACGTCCTGAAGCACCCGAAGGCTCAGGAAAAGCGATTCGAGACCCAAAGTGGCACGAACCGCTACAAGGGCGAGGTGAGCTTCAGCCATTGGCAACCATAATTTTCCAGATAATTCTTAAGACTTTCTCTTCCAAACCTCCTTTGGCTGGGACTTAGGTGATTTGGACTGATCGTCAAGGAGGCCACGGCGAACATCGTTGGGACATGGCCCAGGGAAAACTCTAAGAGGAGACCTTAATTTGCATACTCCTTCCCCTCCCCCTCTCCCTCTCTCTCTGTACATAACCATTTTTGGAAATACGCATAAATCGTGACTTTTCATAATTTTGGCGTATTATTTATTTAAGGGCAATGATTTGGCGTGAAATTGGAATGAGCACTGCAAAAGATTAGCATACGAATGCATTGGCTCAGCTTCCTTCTGGTTCTTGTCTTAGGTCATCTTCGAGATTTTCTCACGCCGCTACGGGAAAAGTGGACTGTCCAACCGGTTACACAACTTTCCTGGGCACTGGGCCAGCCAAAAAGGTCAACTAGAGCGATGGGCCATCCTTTAGCCTTTAGCCGGAAACTGGTTCTGGGCAGTGACCCAATGAATGTCCTGCAGTTACTTAGTTACAGGACAAGACAGTCAGTCAGTCAGTCAGTGAGTACATCATGCGGGTCGAATATGTAAATGCGTCTGCCGTAGGACCAAGACGAAGGGGTTGAAGATGTTAGGGACTTATCTGGCCCGTCTTGTAACCTCGGGGGTTGCATTCGGGTCATTTGCATATCTCAAAGTCGGACGCACAAATGACACAAATGCCCTGCGGCCACGAACCTAATGTCCAGTGGTTTGTCTATATCTTTGGGCACGAATGACCATGCACATGTCTCGGGATTCTTACATCAGATCAATATTAAGTCCCGGGCATACGTTGTATGTAAATGGGTTGCAGCCCTTTGACCTGGCTATGCGGGTCATTAGCGAAGCGATCGGCGCGCTGGCTGTCAGTCATCTCACCTCGAGACTGTCCAGAACCGGTTGGTAATCGCCGGTCTTCTTCTTGGGCGATAAGGTCATCAAAGCAAGGGATATATTCGACTGACTCAAAAGTTCTCACACGCTCATCTAATTTATGCAAGGACACTGCAGAAGGACACTGGATGCGACTGCGATGCGATTGCGATTGCTATTGCTATTGCTTTTGCTGTGGCGTGAGTAGTAGAGGTTCCCAAAGGACAACCGGTCTGACCGGTCCAGCCGGGTCCGAATCAAAATCCGTGTCTTCGGTGACCACAATCCACGGCGTCTTGTGAGAACTCCCATTAGCTGGCCTTTGTCAGCAACTGCCCGAACGGGTTGTCCTTAGATCTTCCGTTTTGGGTGTCACTGGGATCTTGGTCCTCGTCCATTATGATTTTTGCCAATTGCTCAAGGGTTAGGACATTGATTTATAAGCAAATAAAATTTGTTTACCTTCGAGACTGGTGTGACCTCAATTTGGACATTCGGGTGAGTCTCAGATTGTCTCAAAGTAATCAAATTTTGTGATTTCCAAGATGTTGTAGAGGAGGTAGGCTCTAGGCAAGGAGAAGAGGATTACAGTTTTTTAACAGGTTTTTTCTAATTCTAAATTTAAAAGTGCAGAGGAAAGAAAGGAAAGAAGGAAAGGAAAGAAAGTTAAAGCGAAAATACTAATTTTTTGGTATACAACTCAGGGTCGACCGAAATTTGCACTTATTATCAGTATTCAAAAAAATCAAAAATTATTTATTTTTAGAATTGAATGGAAGTTGAATGCGAATTGAATTACAAGCTGAACGACGTATGGCATTCCATAATCCGAATATTTTCGGATTTTTAATGAAGAAAATACTGGGATCTTGGTCGAAAATCGGGATATTTTGAAATCAAAAGGGGTAAAAATTTACAAACAATATAAAAAAAATCTCGTTTTGAGTGTGGTACACAGTTTGGCGGGGAATTTAATTACGAATTTAACGAGGTATAAAATTCCATGTTACGATTTTTGGCTTCCTTAAGGAAATAGTGATATTTTGGGCGGAACATCAAAATTAGTAAAATTCGCGGTATTTTCCCTTAGTGTTATGCTTCTAACTTGGTCAAAAGAAGACGCAGAACCAAAAGGAAGACTGTTTTGTGCAGCTAACGACGTAAACAAACTTTCTGTTTCATTTTGGTGATGATTTTCGAAAGTTTATATTTTCTCAAATTTTGCATTTTTTGTAAGGGGTACCATCACCATTTTTTCGAAAAATTGAAAAAATATTTTTTTCTTCAGACTTGAATGCCAGTTGAATATTTTGAAAATAGATTGAAATACAAGCTCAACAAGGTATAACATTCTACGATATGATCATTTTTCGCTTTGTAATAAGGAAAATACTATTATTTTGAGACACAAATCGGGACAGACCTATTTTCGCATTTTTGGAAATAATCATAAAAATTTACTATAAATCTCAAAAAAATCACTTTTTAAGTGTGGTACACAGTTCGACGGGGAAATTAATTACGAATTCAACGAGATATAACATTCCATGTTGTGATCAGTTTTGCCTTTGTAATAAGGAAAATACTGATATTTTGGGCTGAAAATCAAAATTGTGACTTTTTAGTAAAATTAGCGATAGTTTTACCAGTATAATGCTTATAACTCTGTTAAAATAAAACGCACAGCTATAAGGAGGATTGTTTTGTGCAGCCTACGACCCGTACAAACTTTCTATGTGGGTATGGCGAAGGTTTTCAGAAATTTAATTTTTTGTCAAATTTCATTTTTTTGTAAGGGGTAACATCATCTTTTTTATGAAAAATCGAAAAAATATTTTTTCCTTCAGATTTCAATGGCACTTCGATATTTTGAAAATAGATTGAAAAAGAAGCTCAACGAGGTATGGCATTCCAAATTCCGACCATTTTTGGTCTTGTTATGGGAAAAATACGTATATTTTGATCTTTGATTTGGAACCGACCGATTTTCGACAGGTCCTTTTCATCATAAAAATTTACGAAAAATCTCAAAAAATGTACTTTTTGAGTGTGGTACACAGTTCGACGGGGAATTTAAATACGAATTCAACGAGGTATAACATTCCATGCTATGACCACTTTCGGCTTTGTTATGAGGAAAATACTGATAGTTAGAGCTTAAAATCAAAAATATGACTTTTGAGTAAAATTCGCGATATTTTTTCCCAGTGTTATGCTTATAACTTTGTCAAAAGAAGACGCAGAACCAAAAGGAAGACAGTTTTGTGCAGCTAACGACCTAAACAAACTTTCTGTTTCATTTTGGTGATGATTTTCGCAAGTTTATTTTTTCTCAAATTTTGCATTTTTTGTAAGGGGTACCATCATCATTTTTTCGAAAAATTGAAAAAATATTTTTTTCTCCAGATTTGGATGACAGTTAAATATTTTGAAAATAGATTAAAAAAGAAGCTCAACGACGTATGGCATTCCAGATTCCGACCATTTTTAGATTTGTAATGAGGAAAATACTGAAATTTTGAGACACAAAGCTTGACAGACCATTTTCGCGTTTTTTAAACATCATTAAAATGTACGAAAAATCTCTAAAAATGAACTTTTTAAACCTGGTATACAGTTCGACGGGAAATTTAAATGCGAACTCAGCGAGCTATAACATTCCATATTTGGCCATTTGACATTAGAAAAAAATTCTGAAGTTTTTGAGAGAAATTCAAAAACTGAAAATACAAAATAATAGTCGAATCAAAAGCACCTACATAAGTTTTTCGAAATTTTTAATTTAATATTCTAAACATGAAAGTCGAACCTAAATGAATGACATAAAATAGAATAATGTTATAATCTCGTGCCAATCGAGTCTCGGCATATTTACAAACTACATGGACTTGCGGAACTTTCAAGAGTGTTTCGAAAAGAGTCTCCGATCTGGTCCGATCGAATCCCCTCACTGGTACTGGTGGTACTGCGGCTGCTGCTGCTGTTGGTGCTGATGCTGATACTGCTGCTTGCTAGGGCCCGAGCTATATTCCTGCTGGGACTTGTGGCCACCAGCGCGGAGCAACTGTGTCGCAGGCGGGGGAGTGGGAATCTTCACCACGATATCGGTAGGCTCACGGATGACCTCAGCCTTGAAACCCTCCTTGGGATCAGCCGTGTACTTGACGGTGCGAATGAAGCCATCGGAATCCACCACAGAGTAACTGCCCTTGATCACGGAACCATCGCGGATCTCCTTGCGGTTCTGATAGTTGGTGAACTCGTCGTCTTTCACATCGAATCCGAACTGGTAGGAGGAGTTTTGCTGGAAAATGGTTAGGTTGAAATGGTTAGTTACAAGATTAAGCTTAAGATTAAACGTAAACTTGTTTATGGAAATTATGTAATAAATCCAGTAATTTCTATAAAAATATCTTTGATTTTTCTATAAATTTTATCACAGTTATCTTATTTTAAAAAAATAAAATCAGATTGCGTACTTTTGCAACTTAAGGGGAACTTCAAATGCGTACTGCAACTTCAGTGCTGACCCAAATTCATGGCTGGCCCATAAAAACGTGTCCAGACAATGGTTACGTCATAGCCACAGGCGCATGCGCGTAGGCTGTGTAACTCCAAACTCCCAGTCCCAGATCACGCACAAGTGAAAGTAATTTGGAGCCGCTTGCATATTTTAATGGTCCAAGCGCACGAAATCAAAGTGCCGTTGCAGCGGATCACACAATCGATCGGCTGACTGCGGATTATGCAACCAAGGCGGTAGAAGTACCACCCATAAAACCCCAAGGCGTTGAATAATTTATGCGCAAGGTTGGCGATTTCCCCTACTTTTTGTGAGGATGCAAAAAGTAGTCAGACCTTCAACTAGCCAAGACAATTCGATCATAGATTATTACCAAACTGGGTTAAGGTAACTAGAAGATCGTGGTTCTAAGGCGTGGTCATAGATCCCCGGTTGGGCCTGACGTGGCCCAAAAAAAAAAAACGTTTATATACCCAAAGAACTGCAAGCCGAAAAATGGAAAGGCAAAGCCAGTTTGCAAGCCGGTTCTAATGCGTGCAATGTCCATTGAAACTTATTGTTGTGGGAACTGGGCTCGGAACTGCAGATCTCTTAAGGCATTGGGGTATATGGGTCGCAATTGAAAGTGATTGTCTGGCGGAGAATGTAATAGCCAGCGGCAGTGTCACTCTTATGGCCATCGAAGGCAGAAAAACAGCAGTAAGCAGTATGGGAAATGCATAATCTACTGGTTGAACTTGCAAATGACACTTTTACGGGCATGGGTCTATGAAATATGGATTTTGTTAAGAGGTTTATTACCTTGCCATATACATTGCAATTTCCTTTATGGCTTACAATTTCCCATTTAAATATTAATAAAACCATTATTGTTTTTAAGAGCCATCTGCCTATTTCTCTCCTGTCATATTCATCAATTTTAAGTGGCTAAGATGATGGCACGCCATCGGAGCACCTTAACCTCATCTCGTTAGCTCATTGCTGCATTAAGGCTGATGGATTATGGTCACTTTGGTAACGGATATTCACCAGCTTCCGCATGCAAAGGCCATAAACAATCGCCGCTGGCTAAGTGGCCAAACGGACCGGACCAGGAGCAAACTCGGGCCAATGAACATGCACAATGCGATGCACAAACACATATGGCCATGGCCATCCAATCCACACACTGTTGCCGAGTGTGGTTAATGAACCCCAAGTCACAGTTCCCTCCCCCGATCCATCTCCAATGCCATTGCATGCCTCAATTGTAATTATGTTGCTGTTGTAGATGTTGCAGTTGCTATTGGAGTTGCTGCTGCAGTCAAGCGAAAAGGAAAGTCTGCGAAAGTCCCACTCGAATGCGAGTGCCAACTCTAGCTGTGCACCGCGAAAAGAGGATCGTTTTCCATTTGATATTAATATCAAAATGGTTAAAGCAATTATTATAACCTTGTTTTATGAGTGTGTTATTAGTAAACGTTAATGGCACTTAAGTTTTTGTGTAGCATCAAAACGGGGCTATAAACCTCTGAAAAGTACACAAAAACATGTTATTCACCCTCTACTTTCCTTTGCCAATCTGTTTTCTAAACATTTCAAATTATTTTCCTGTGCATTTCAGACTTACGTCATCGTATTCCTCCTCCTCGGGCTGCTGCTGCTGTAGCGACAACTTGTGCTGTCCTTTGCCGAGGATCGAAGTGGAAGGAGCCTGGTAAGAGGGCTGCTGAATCCGGCGGGGTGGCTGAGGAGCAGCTTGGGCAGGTGGACGGTAGGACGACTGCTGCGGCTGGGCTTGGTATTGCTAAGATAAGGATATATATCCAAGATATAGAAATATATCATATAGTAACCGAGTATGAAAACCCACCTGATAGTCCCTGAGGGCCGGTGCCACGTATCCCTGCTGCTGCTGCTGGGAACGAATCTGCTCGGCCACCGTATCCTTGATCCTGATTTGCTGGCCAGAGTTGACATACTGCTGCGTTTGTTCTGAGTTCTGTTCAAAAATGGGCGTGGCATCGTTGGGCTGAGCCTGTTGCTGCTGCTGCTGGTGCTGCAATTGTTGGTAGTACTGCCTCAAGTAGGCGGGATCCACGCCCTGTTGTCCGCTGACAACACCACAAATTGCCAATGTGGCCACCACTAGCAGGAATTGCATGTTGTTGGTGGGTTTCTAGACGTTGCTACTGGATGTTAGATCACACTGAACCGACGAGACGCGGACACTCGAATTCAAATTCAAACACTCTAACTGAAACCTCGGCGGAGCCACAAATGTATCTGCGCTGGCTGCGGATCCAAATTGCACTTTTATATCGACAAACGGCAAATGCCGAGCGGTAACCATACACGACGACTCTCTTACTCTCTAAGCCCAAATCCAGCTCTCTTAGCTGATTTACAACAGCTGTTTTTGGGTGGCTGAAGCCCCCGAACTCGGTTGTCACTTCCGTTCAAATCATAGTTCACAGTACCCTCGACCTGGGCCATTGTTAAAGGTTTTCGCTTTTTTTTTTTTTGTAACCCTACGTGATCTCGGCCAACTGATCAGTTAACAGCTGTTAACGTGATTAATAGCAAAAAAAAAAAAGAAAAAAACAGGGGGCGTTTAAAAACTTTCCCGAATCTGTCATCTGCAACTGCAACACCAATGTACTCGTACTATATATCAAAGTTATTGCAGATTGCAACACATTTTGGAAGACATGCAATGCCCACAAATGTAAATGTAAATTACTTTTGTGGTTGACTCCTCCGACATGCAAGTGCCTATAACTGATTCAATGCAATTGTCTTGATGGCTTCCCATTAGATAATCATGCCCAATTAATCGGCTCTCAATTAAGAAGAGGTCAATGCAATCGTAGGAGAGCCACACCCGAGTCAAAAATCGAACCCAACAAGTGCAGAGCCGCCTCCATTGTTTGTGACCCAAATTGCCGTAAACGTTTTTCTTTTTTTCTTTCGTTTTTTCATTGGCGCCCAACTATGTATCCATCTATCTGTGAATACCTATCTACCAGTTTGTATCTGAATCTGAATCTGATGTTGCGTTTGCGTTGCGGTTGAATGGGTTCAAGCGATCTTCGATGTCGCCGATTGCCAAATCTTATTTCTGTACTCCCAAGCCCTTTGCATATAGTCATACGATCATATGATCATGTGATCGTGTCATTAAACCTCTATAAGTCCTACTCCGAATTAGATATTTGAGCTGTGAGCTATGTGATTACAATTGCCACAGAGCTCGAGCCTATATATTGTTGATGTTACAGTTGCCATACGCATACGCCCTGAATTTGCATCGATTCGCAATCGACAAGGTCGTTTCGGGGGAGTCGAATTCGGGACAATACTGAGCTGACCGTTTAATGGGATCGCTCTGACATTGTGCCAGCTAAAAAACGAACAAAAATACAATTGAAAGAAAAACCAAGCCATATTTGTGGCTTACTTAGCCGTGAAGTGAAAGTACATTATGTGTTGCAGACAATTGTTATGCACATTACACACGTACGCTCTCGAGTGACTTATTTCCATTCAAATTAAAGTCAAATTTATGGGTACGCTCATTTCTCGGCTCATGTGTGCATATAGTTTCAATATAAATACGTTTAATTGCCGGAATGATTGATGGAATAAGTGCAGATTTGCAGCGTCATGTTATGCAAAGATTTTCGGCTACTCTTTTGGCTTAGTTTTTGGGTTGGGTTTCTCTGGCTGCTCTGGCTGCTCTGAACTGGGCTGGGCTGGGGCACTACTTATGTTAAAAAGAAGGCTGGCAGACAAAAGAGCTCGTCATATTCAAATTATTGCCGGCATGTTGAAATCTCCGATCATAATTATATCACACTTACAGTATATATATGTATAAGCAGGTGTCATAATATTTCAATTAATAAGAATCCAATCTCACTTCTTTTATCCAATCAAAGTCACTTTTTATTAATTAAAACATTCTTTATACCTATTACATTCCATGACTAGAATCACTCAAGATTAACCCACCTGATGGCGGTTAATTAAGAATCAGAATAACATAAACATAACTATAAATCAAATTTGCTGCTAATTTAGTTTACTTTTTCTTTTTTATTTAATTAATTTATATAGATTTTCTATTGCATACGGAGACAGTAAATAGGTAGAGGCAGAGTTAATTTGTGTTTAAATTGTAGACAATATCGTAAGTTTATTTCGATGCCAATCGTGTTTACCAAACCAATTTATCATAAAGCTGTGTTAGTGGTTCACAATTCCTTGTCGTTCTTCATATAATTTATTGAGTAAGTTAAACAGAATTTCATAAAAATCCGCTAAATATGTTAGGAGATAAACAACTGTCGGTGCCAACGGCAGCAGATGTTGCTGTTGCTGTTGTTGATGTTGCTGCTGTCGCTGATGTTGCTGCTGCAGTTTCTAGTACTCGGTGGCACCAATAACGCTGTACATGAGACGATTGAAAGAGCCGCTCTGGCGTATGTTCTCGTCGTGGGTGTTTACCACCTATCAATTAAAAACACACAATTATTTTAACATTCCGTTAATGTTAGGCTAACAGCTCTACTCACATTGTACGGCGGCCGGGATACTGGCGCTGATACTGGTTTCTGTAAGAGCATTCGGATGGGATGAAGAGATAAGAACTTGCTTAATAACTCTGGCAAATTCCAGCAATTTCGGTTACAAACTTTTAAAATGCAATCTCTAACTGTTATGAGCTCATGTTAGATGTTAATCTATGTTAGAATGCCCAAAAAAAGATGTGTGCTTGTGATTTGGAAAATATACACAGATATGGAGTTAATGGATGTTTAGTGTAGTTCGATGCCAGCTGGTGATCGACCAAAAAATCTGGTTAGTAACACTACTTCGGCCCCGTTAGTCGTCGTTATAGCGCATTAACATGCCACCAGACAAGGATACATAGAGACTGTTGACTAACATTCTGTTGGGTCAACTCTATACGTTTACATTGACACAGAAAGAGAGACAGCGAGCGATATAGGAACAGAGAGAGACAGATAGACTTTGTACAGGATGAGCTTTGAGAATTCGAGCGATATTGTCGGATGCGCCTTCACATAAAGTTTTGACTGAGTTGGTCGGTTGATTGATTCGAGTTGATTGAGAGATTTGCTTGATTTGAGATTATCGAACGGTTGCTCACGATCTTACCTTTCCTGGAACCAATCTATTGGGCTGATAGACCTTAGTCTGCACAGGAATGGTTACTTCCTGTGGCGAGGATTGGCCATAGCTGCTGTAGCCGCCCTCCTCTTGAATGGCTCTGTAGGTATCGCTGTTCCTGGGATCGTACTGGACAGTTTTCTTATAGCTGCTCGATGGCAGTGGTCAGTGATTGAGATTCGGATTCAGATTCAGTAATTCGGGGGATTGCATTGAGATCGTTGAAAGCGCCGTTATGTTTGGTCAATAATTCGTTGGATTTTGTTTATTGTTGGGTGTTATGCAAATTTTCAATAGATTTATTTTTTAAGTCGTTTTATTGTTGTTGGTTAATCGAGATTCATAAATTAAATATATTTGGTTTGTTTTGGTTTTTTTTTTTTTTTTTTTTGATTTTTATACATCGGTTGAGTAGCGTGAGACAGAGTAGTGAGAGAATAGAAAGAGAAAACAGGATGTGCACAAAATACGTTAGAATTATTTTGTTTTTGTTGTAGTTGTAGTTTGTTGGTTGCTGTTGTTGTTGTTGGGCAATGGTGTGCTTCGTTGTCTTAGAAACTGCACACTCCTCAAACGGATTGCGATTAATAGGAAACTCATTAACAAATTCCTTACGAGCTAGTTATTAAGAGTAATCGAACAGAACTGCATAACAAGATGTGAGATTATACGATATACTCGAAAATATATCATTGGATGAATTAAAGCCTTGAGATCGGGCGGGATTAGGGTTGTTAGTTAGTGTTTAATGGTTAATACTGGATGGGTTGCTAAATAGGATGGGATCATGAATAGGAACTTTTAATGCTGTCTTTCAAACAGTTCGTAAATATAATTCAGCAAACGTCTTTTAGTTTCGGATTAGTCTTAGTGGAACTGGTCGGTAGGGAGGGGACTTTCAGCAAGGGTCTTGGGAAGGGTGAGTTTTGGCTCTTGGTCTAGTAGAATTGGGTGGGTAGAGTTTTTGACTACTATTTCTTTGATCATTTGTTTTGTTGATAGAGTAGTTGCAGTTGCTGTTGGCGTTGTTGGCGTTGTTGCTCTGCAAGTTGGTCTTTTTGCTTTTGTTGCTCCAGAATTTTACGTTTTTGTTCCAGGAAAGATAGATCGATGAAAATTCTAACATTAATCGTGCAGCTAAGTTCTAAATATATCAGGATCTAAGAGCTATGGTGGTAATAGTCTAAGGATCGTTTTGGTTTTTTCTTTTGTTGGATTTGGTTAATCTATAAGTACACAGCACCTGGCCTACCAAGAAACCCCTTCCCGATGTACCTGCATCACTTTTGCCATACCTTTCAGATTGCAATATAGCCCAAACAAGAAGCCTCAAGACAAACAAAGTTCGTTGGGGGTTTCGGTGAAGATAAAGTATCCAGAAATACACGTATTTACACAGTAATGATTTCCATATCACAGACTCAGATCAAAGGAGCTTTTCGTTGCAATAGGAAGGTTTAGGATAAGATAAAGGAAACATATAGATATTTATAGACAGCAGAGCACATGCAATTGGGTTTTGGACGTGTGTCATGTTGTTTCTGTTGTTCTGACATAGATATTGATATCTGGATTTAAGAGACTATATAGTAGAGTTGTTGTGGTTGCGGGAGACAACAATAATCGAGGGTTAATCTGTACAGACAGGCAGGGAAAACACGGGAAACATGGTAAACATTCCTCATAGTCAATTTGTCTCAAGGCAAGTTCAGATTGAATCTGAACTTCTTGCTCGTATGCTTTCCATATCAAAGTGAGAAGGATTCAATCAAAGAACGAAATCAGGCTGTGCTCAAGATATGAATTTACTTTTACCCGTTAAGTTTTGTTGGCAAAGGACGATGCAAAGGACTGTCCTTCAAGCGATTGCTTTCGCTTGTGGCGAAACTACAACAATATATATAGAATATATATAGGTATATATAAAGAGTGTGATATATATATGTTATATATGTATAACAGAGATCCGGCAGTAGGCAATAAGTACGTACAACATCTATGGACTGGTTTTTTGTTTATGTGTTCGAATGTGTTTCTCATTTCGTGTGTGCTTCGGTTTAGTAAATTTCGTTTCGACTTTGATTTTGTGGCTTTTTTTGGGTTAGTG